AGAGGTGAGAGGCAGGTGGTGAAGAAGAAGCAGATCTTGGCCTTTCCCAGTTCTCTGGAGGTTTAACAAGGGCCAGATTTGCCCTGGATTTGGTTCCTTCAAAGTTCTATCAACTCCAAGTCAGCCCAGGAATTTCAGCATCACTCTGACGTGGTGTCAAGCCGCAGACCACGAGAGAGGAGCGGAGGGTGCCAAGGAGCACAGCACCACATCTGGGCAACCCATCCACCATGGCAGCTGCCAGCACTTGTTCCTGGCTGTATCCGGTTCTTGGGGCCTGGGGAGACCTGCATGAAGGCTTCATCCAGTCCTTTCCAGAGCTCTGCTCTGGCCTCTGGAGGAACTGCTACCACAGGCATGGTCCTGCTTTACCAGGGTGACAGTGGGTGACAGCAGTGTCCAGGGAGACAAGGGAGGCAGAAAGTGCTGGGGTCCTTCCACAGTGACCATATGGCCAAGCACAATGTGCTGGGGAGCATCCCATGCTGGAGAGCATCCTTCAGCACCATGAACGCCAGCCACGGACGCTGCAGGGTGACAGTGTGTCAGGAGGTAGCACTGAGCCATATGCCATGTGTGCTGTGTTCCTACAGATGCTGACCCATCCTCTACATCTACTGGGTTCAGGCACTTGGAGGAGGCTCTAACCAGAAGCAGAGGTTGCTACTCTGCCGCCTTTCCCCACCATGGGGCCTTTCCATCCCCATCCCACACATTCTTCCTAACCCCTACGGCGAGCCTTGGTATTAAATGTGCTCTGTGGAGCCCCGGGAGGCAGCGACAGGCTCCTGGGTGAATACTAATAGCGATGCCGTCCGGTCGCCCCAGCCTTTCCCACACATCTGCAGTCACTTAATGTGGGAATTGTTAACCCTCTGCTTACGCAGTGCCTGAAATTCAGAGCGAAGCATGGCCAGGATGCTTCCTGCCAAGTCCCGGCCACCTTTGGGACCCTGTGGCCCTGTCACAGTCTGTAAGTTGAGGCATCCTCAGCACTCATCAGCTGCACAGAGAGCACCCAGCTCTGTGCTGGTGCAGGGGGAATCACATCACCAACCTGTGAGAGCAGGGGCCCTGCACATGGTGGAAAGCAATCCCAAGATTTGTGGCATTTGCATTTTACCTGGAAAGCTGATCCAGGTCTCTGGGGACCAGCTGTGCAGAGCCATCCTCAGCATGGGGACACAAGTGCCAGCAGAGGCATGGTTCAGGCATCTGGGAAAAGCCAAAGGGCACGTGGGAGTCTGCAGTGGGGCTGATGGAGCTGGGGCAGGGGTTGTCCTCTGCAAGAGGGTTGCACTGATGTCTCTGTTGCCAAAGAGGAAGGGATGGTCTCTGGGTGTTCGGTGGTGCGGCTGTGTTTGCCCTATCCCTCCACTGCTCTCTGGGATGCTGCTCCAAATGTGTATGGCAGGAACGATGCACAGGAGACATGCTCTGCTTTCCCTTTCCTCCTGCAGCTGGAGAGTAGCAGGAGAAGGTGCTGGCTGGGCTGGGGTGTGTGGGGGGCATCACAGCTCTGGCATGTGCTGGTCAGAGGCCACAGGTTTGCTTTTGAGAGCCACAGAGGCTGCGGGGAGGCCAAGAACCCATGGGGCTGCCAGGGAGCTGGTGGGGCAGGAGGCTCTGGAAGGAAAGGGGAGAGAGCAGAGG